GAAATGGGAATTTATGAAATTAATGGTTGATTTTTTCTACTTTTAGATGGCTGTGTTACAGTTCATATCAAGTGGCTTACCTAAAGTAGGTCACAGTAACTCTTGAAAACAGCCCATAATGATAGTTAAAGTCCAGTCAGTTTCTATGTTGTCAAGCATCATTGCCTAATATATGTACGCATCACGTACCTATTTTTATCATAAAAATGTATGTACGCATCATGTACCTATTTTTATCATAAAATGTATGTACGCATCTGTACCGATTTTTATCATAAAAATGTATGTACGCATCTGTACCTATTTTTATCATAAAAATGTATGTACGCATGCTTACCAATTTTTATGATAAAATGTATGTACGCGTCACGTACCAATTTTTTACCACAATTCATCTGCTACCCTGTACCGCTGACTGAAACAATTAACCATCGTTTGTCAGGTAGCAGTACCAAGCACAATCCACTGCGACCATCTTATTGAAGCTCAAGTCGGAGCAAGTCAAGATCTGGCAAAGGCTAAGGACATCAACAGTGAGGTGTACGATTTTCTGGGCACTGCCTCGGCTAAGTATGGTATTGGATTCTGGAAACCTGGTAGTGGCATTATACATCAGATTATTCTTGAAAACTATGCCTTTCCAGGAGCATTGTTGATCGGTACTGACAGTCACACGCCCAATGGAGGTATTACTATATTTATTGGCAAAATCGCGGTGTAAACATGCACGAAGAGTTTGCATGATATGCATTAAAGATCTTTGAAAATAGATGTATATATAAATGTGTCGTGGGACTTAGCTTTGAATAGTATGACACATTTGTTTTTATTTAAGGTGGTCTAGGTGGTTTATGTATTGGTGTGGGTGGTGCTGATGCTGTTGATGTCATGGCCAATATACCCTGGGAATTGAAATGTCCAAAGGTAAACTCTGATGCATCCAACCGCGCTGTGATAGAGTTTCATATAGTGATTATAACGTGATTCAAGTTGAGACTATCTTTGATATTCTCATATCTTTGACAGGTTATAGGTGTGAAATTAACTGGGAAATTGAGCGGTTGGACATCGCCCAAAGGTTCGTTTCATTTGCACATCAGTGCTGTTCTCCTTATGTACAGTAATATATCAGAAAGTCAATGCAAAGGTTGTTATTTTCTTTTCAGATGTGATTCTCAAAGTAGCAGATATTCTCACAGTTAAAGGTGGCACTGGTGCTATTGTAGAGTACCATGGTCCCGGTGTTGACTCCATCTCTTGTACAGGTAAGATGTGGTCATCACGAACGGATTACAAGAAGAAACCTAAACTAAACTAAGTTTATTTATACTGCATAGCTCCAGCCTAGTCCCTAGCCGTTCTGCAACTTGCACCAACGAACAAACGAACAGATCAAACTGATAAGACTGACTGGCTTAGGTATGTCAGTTAGTTGCGACGTCACCGCGCATGTACCCCTTCGTACCCCTATGCATCAAGCATAGCTAACGACGCGCGAGAGAGAGCCTACGGCTAGGCTGCCATAGCTCCATTAGTTCTAAATTGTTTTCCTAGAAGTCCAGTAACTGCAGGTGTCCAACGTACATTCTCGTACCCAGAGCCCTTCTTACGCGCGATCAACGGAGCGCGACGAGGGGCTCTGGCAAAATCCAAACCGGATACCATAAAAACATGATATCCGGTTAAACACTGCGCATGCTCAATAAGAGTTGAACATGCGCAGTGTTTAACCGGATACCATGTTTTTATGGTATCCAACGTACATTCTGCCCAGAGCCCTTCTTACGCGCGATCAACGGAGCGCGACGAGGGGCTCTGGGTACGAGAATGTCGAACCACTCTGCCAGCCCAGAATGCGTCTACCCTTCGAATAATTCTATCTCGTTCTGCATTTTTTTGCGGTTAGGAATGGGAACGATCTGCAACATGGGAGCCGAGATCGGAGCGACGACATCTGTCTTCCCATTCAACTCGCGCATGGCTGACTATCTGAAGGCAACAGGTCGTGAAGATATCAGTGGCTTGGCTCAGAAGAATATCCATATTCTGGAGGCTGATGCAGGATGCGAATATGATGAATTGATTGAGATTAATTTGGACGAGGTATTGGGTTTAGCCATTAGCAGACAGATGGTGTGTGGGTCACTTTGAAGCTTACTCTTTTTTTCAAGCAACATTTTCAGCTTGCTGGACACACTCGGAGAGCATCATCTTAAATATTACTTTTTTGTTAAGATAAATATGATGTTGTTTTCAGCTTGAACCTCATGTGAACGGACCTTTTACGCCAGATTTGGGCACACCTATTTCTAAATTGGGTGAAGTTGCCGAAAAGAATGGCTGGCCATTGGAAATCAAAGTAGGTAAGTATTTCCATCAAAAGTCTGGATTTGTTTAGCTGTTTCGCTTTAGGCATAAACCAGTCGACATTGGTGAGTTTCAGTAAGCGTTGCAAGGCAGTAGATGATGCTTTGTGAAACCTATCTTTCATCGTTTTCTTCAGCCTTGATTGGCAGTTGTACAAACAGCAGCTACGAAGACATGACAAGATCAGCAAGTATTGCAAAACAGGCTTTGGATCACGGCGTTCAGTCCAAGTACGTTATATTGTGAGCTAGTTTAACGATAGTTGTAATGGCGTAATGAATCCAAGTACGTTATATTGTGAGCTAGTTTAACGATAGTTGTAATGGCGTAATGAATCCAAGTACGTTATATTGTGAGCTAGTTTAACGATAGTTGTAATGGCGTAATGAATCCAAGTACGTTATATTGTGAGCTAGTTTAACGATAGTTGTAATGGCGTAATGAATCCAAGTACGTTATATTGTGAGCTAGTTTAACGATAGTTGTAATGGCGTAATGAATCCAAGTACGTTATATTGTGAGCTAGTTTAACGATAGTTGTAATGGCGTAATGAATCCAAGTACGTTATATTGTGAGCTAGTTTAACGATAGTTGTAATGGCGTAATGAATCCAAGTACGTTATATTGTGAGCTAGTTTAACGATAGTTGTAATGGCGTAATGAATCCAAGTACGTTATATTGTGAGCTAGTTTAACGATAGTTGTAATGGCGTAATGAATCCAAGTACGTTATATTGTGAGCTAGTTTAACGATAGTTGTAATGGCGTAAT